CATAGCCAGTGGCCAGAGAGAAGTGGTGCTTTCCCACATCAAAGTGCAGCTTTTTTGTGCCAGCTGTGTAGTTGCCCCGTGCTGTTCTGAAGCCTTCCAGCCTGTATTTGTGCTGCTCACTGCTTCCTGCTGGCTCTCCTGAGGCTGCAGCCTGCAAGTGAATCTTCTTTTGTTTCCACTCCCTCCCCCCAGCCCTCTCTGCAAAGGGATTAGCCCCCCACAGAGCGGGGGAGGGAAAGTGCTGGACCCATTGCTGGACTACTGAGCCTGGGGGCTTCATGTCACTGGGGGGACCCCGATGTCAGGGCATGGTATTTTTCATTGTAAATCTGCCCCTGCAGATAAGCTCTTTTAAGTTCAATATGCAAGTCACAGTTTCATCACTTCTCTCCTGATTAATATAGAACACTCACCTTAAAAATCTCATGCTATCATGGCTGAATCAAATTGTGACTCTCAACTCTGCTGTATTTTGATATAATTCTGGGACTAACCTGGTGTAATTAAATCTTAGTGTACATTTACTAGTTCAGTCTTGCACTCTCTGAGTGTTAACAAAAGTGACTTGAATTTACTTAATCCTCACCAAAAATGTTAATATTCTCTTTAAAAAAAACCCTGTCCACATAGCTTCAGTCTCTTCTTCCGTTCAATGTTATTCTGTTAATATTATGCTGCACCATTTAGCAACCAGTTGCCATGTCCTTGTGTCTATTGAAGACATGATGGACTGTTTCATAAAATGTACAGTAGCAGAGAAATACACAAGGGGCCAGTTCCTCAGCTGGTGAAACATCACTGTTGCTCCACTGAAGTTATTTACATCTACCGGAGATTGGACCAGAATGGTGACAATAATACAGGGTATGGCTGTAACATCAAAATTGAGAAGAAAATTAAAAAAAACATTAGTTACCTCAAATTGAAGGCACAATGGAAAGCCACAATGTGTCTCTGACAACCAGATGAAGAGATATCTGAGAGGATCATCAGGCTTCCAGATATTTGCCCTATATTGTTCTCCACTACTGTGAAACCTCAGGCCATTTACAGCCTATACATATGTTAGTGTAATTCAAGAGAATTCAAGAGACCCACTTCCATCAAGACTGAACCTGGCTCTGCATCATAAAGGGGAAATTCTGTACTGTATCCCCATTTTATTTTCTATGTGGTGTGGTTTGTTTGCATTTGTGCAGCAATCTATCTCCCAAAGAGATACTTGGAAGGTTCTCATTCGCCAATCACAAGCAAATTGCTACTGGTTACACTAAAAACTGAGGAAAACGCTGGAGCTTTTTTGACAAAAAAAGTCATATTTTCTATTCCATCACCTCAAAAAAACCCACCCCAAACAAACAAAAAACAAGGTATGCTGCTCTCAATGAGTATATTATTACAGATTTATAATCTGGAATATATAGTTCCTACAGGACGGGGTACGTCTAGACCACAGGCTTTTGTCGACAGAGGCTTTGTCGACAGATACTGTCGACAAAGTTTCTGTCGAGAAAGAGCGTCTAGACTACAGCCAGTTCTGTCGACAAAGCAAGACGCTTTGTCGACATGAGAGTATAGACGCAAAGAACAGTGTAGATGCAATAACATCTTCTGTCAACAGAACTCTGTCGACAAAAGGTGTTATTCCTTGTAGAATGAGGTTTACCGCCATCAACAAAAATGCCGAGTTCTATCAATGTATGTAGCTAGAACTCGGCGGTAGTGTAGACGCAGGTATAGTTTTGTCGACAAAAGTCCACTTTTGTCGACAAAACCCTGTAGTCTAGACACACCCTTAATGAGGGAATGTAGACAGGGATAGTGCCTCGCTCAGACATGTGGAAGATTTAAGACTGAGTCCCAGACTTGGAATCTCTCCGGGTATGTCTACACTAACTCCTAGTTTGAACTAGGGAGGCTAATGTAGGCATGTGAACTTGCCAATGAAGCCCGGGATTTAAATATCCCAGGCTTTATTTGCATGTTCCCATCCGGTCGCCATTTTTAAATGCCACTAGTCTGGACTAACTGCCCGTGGCTACACACGGCAGTTAAATGGTAATTCGAACTAAGTCCTTAGTTCGAATTACCTGTTATACCTCATTCCAGGACTAGTTCGAATTACCGTTTAACTGCCGCATGTAGCTGCGGGCAGTTAGTCCGGACTAATGGCATTTAAAAATGGCGACCAGACAGGAACATCCAAATAAACCCCGGGATATTTAAATCCGGGGCTTCATTTGCAAGTTCGAATGCCTACATTAGCCTCCCTAGTTCGAACTAGGAGGCTAGTGTAGACATGCCCTCCTGCCTTATCCTGTTAAGAGGTGGGAATAGCACATAAAGTACTAACTTAATTTGAAAAATTAATCAGACCATCAGGAGTGCTTTTAAGTCCAGATCAGCTGGATAGGGACAAGAAAGAGGAGTGACTACTACCTGAGGTCTTAAAAGGCTTTTAAATACTACACATTGTGTCTCTTTTACTGTATTAGGTTCTGACCATGCTGACCTTGATCCTCCGTAACATTACAATAAAGCAAGCACTAAGAAAAGTGAACAACCACCCCTCTTACAGAGCAGTAACACCCCTAGTTTTTATACAGCCAATGACATGAATAGACCTAAGCAAATTTTTCTTCATTGTGAAGAAGAAGGAGAAACAGAGTACCAGGCTAAGTTCCAGGAACAGAGCCCAGGCCTCTTCAGTCCCCAGCCACCACTCTGTACAATAGCCAACATGGACTCCCATTCATAATCAAGATAAATTAATGGGATGCTGTTACCTCAGGCATAATTATAGTGCCTGCTGTGAAATTGTCGAGGCAAAGTCCCATCAGCCACATTTCAACCAAACTTATTTTGTTGCAGCTTTTATTTTGTAAAGACTTGAGAGACACAAAAATACCAGTAAAAGTAGTTCCCCCCAAATCCACAGGGCTTTTGCAGTTAAGCCTCCCTATATAATACTCTTTGGCTGTACCTAGAGCCACTTTTAGTTGTTTTTTAAACTTCCTCTCAGGCCCCCAAAACAAAAACACCTAACTGTACAGAAGTTTTTCCTTAGCAGCAATTAATCCCTCCCTCTTTTCGGCTAGACATTCACACTATCTGTCCCAGCTGTCCTTACCTATCTGCGTGTTCATATTAGTCCATTCAGAACCTATTTCCAGCAGTGCATCATATTGGGAAATGCATTAACATGGTAATTATTTTCTTAATAAACTCTCTTTTGCCAAATCATGTTATTTAAAAAAAAATACACTGTAAGGCCAAGTGCAACCCCAGTCAATGCAGTGCTTTCTGCTCTTGTGCTCTCTCCATTGGCTCTTTAGGAGTAAAACAACAACAATTATTGTTATAATCTGGTTTGATCCCACTGAAGTGAATGGCGCTGCAAAGATACATAAAACTGTCAGGCTACGTCTAGGCTGGCATGATTTTCCGCAAATGTTTTTAAAAGTTTTTCTGTTAAAAGCATTTGTGGAAAAGAGCATCTAGATTGGCACGGATGCTTTTCCGCAAAAGCACTTTTTACAGAAAAGCGTCCGTGCCAATCTAGATGCGGTTTTGCGCAAGAAAGCCCCGATCGCCATTTTCGCCATCGGGGCTTTTTTGCGCAAAACAGTTTTTAGCTGTCTACACTGGCCCTCTTGTGCAAAAACATTTCTGGAAAAGGGCTTTTGCCTGAATGGGAACGTCAAAGCATTTGCACAAGAAGCACTGATTTCGGACAGTAGAACGTCAGTGCTTTTGCACAAAATCAAGAAGCCAGTGTAGACAGCTGACAAGTTTTTCTGCAAAAGCAAATGCTTTTGCGGAAAAACTTGCCAGTCTAGATGTAGCCTCAGAATTGTGCTCATGTCATCAGTGTCGCTGTTTTGAAAATCAAGCAAAAGCGGCATACTAATTTTAAGATGCATTAGAAACACAGGTAATAATCCATTTCTCTCCGAAATGCAAATGCAAGAAAACACATAGAAAAAATCATGTTTACATTCTAGCTTCTAAAAGGAAATTACAACAATGGAGGGTAAACAAAACCAAATGAAATGAAAGTCCTCAACAATATATTTTTAAAACATAGATCTGCTCTTGAGCTCAGAACTTGCTTAATGATTTTTCAACATTTGCTCACTCCAGGGATCTCAGATTGATTTCCATGCAAGTTGCTTCCCTATATGTTGAACTGTGTAGATGCAAGAATGACAGTCCTTAATGGATCTGGCAGCCATTTCAGGAGACCTCAGCACACTGTAACACTGGAACGATCAAGAATATTATTCAAATTAAACAAAATAAACAAGCTTCCAGCAACGTAATCACTGGAATTATTTGGTTGCCACCTCTGAGAAACTCTCATTTGCAGACTTTGGGAGCATAGCGTACCATGTAAAAATGCTTCTGTTTGTATTGCAGCATGTTCTCCCCTTGGGAAATCCAGACTGCAAAGACATATGTGTACCAGCCAGTGTTGAACTCCACATGAGCGTCAAAGAAACCAACGATCAGAGAGGTTGCTGCTTTCCAGCCTTGGATTCGAGCTCGAATCAGTCCTTCCCGTTTGTTATTGCGCACTATCTTCACCAGGCCTGGGTATCTCTTATTGACGTACTGGTCCAGATTAAACTTCAGCTCAACTGAAAAAAAAGACACACACCCGTGCTCTCAAAGAAATTTCCACTGAGAACAAATAGCCATCACATAATATTTTATTGAGATATGATTTACCCTGGAACAAACATTTCTAAAACTAAAGACTCAAAAATAATTCTGAGCCTCAGACCTTTCCAAATGATTGGCTGCATTCCAAGAGGAGGTAGGTACATGCAGTTTCTACTGATGTACATGGGCCCTGTTCTAAGGTCTTGTCTTAACCCAAATTCAACTTTTAATTACAGTGGTGTGAACCCAGAATAATCCTATGAAATTCAAGAGTATTACTTTGGATTTACACACATGCAGTTTGGTCCTTAGGTATTATACATGGAATTTTATAGGTATTTTGCCTAAATAAAACCCTCATTGCTGTGTCACTTGGAAAGTTACTCAGCACTGCTTAGGATTTTGTCAAGTATTTAGAGAACATCAGGTTTCAATTAGTTTCAAAATAGTGATTATTGTTAGAGCCTTGTACAGACAGAAAAAATGATCCATGGATATCCACATCCACAGATGCAGATACCCATGGATATAAAGCGGATATAATTTCAACATTTGTATCCATATCTGTAGCCACAAAAATGAACCACGGATATCTGCATCAATATCCACAGATACAGATACCCATGGATATAAAGTGGATATCTTTGGATTTGCACAATATTACAAGACCCCTAATAATTTCTGACATGCTAAAGAAAGTCTCTGAGGCTATGTCAACACTGCCACCCTAATGTAGGCATTTGAATTTGCAAATGAAATCCAGGATTTAAATATCCCGGGCTTCATTTGCATGTTCCCAGGTGCCGCCATTTTTAAATGCCCGTAGTTCGAACTACCTGCCTGCGGCTACATGCGGCACAGACTAGGTAGTTTGAATTAAAGCTTCTAATTTGAACTACCATTATGCCTCCTACAAGGTAGTTCAAACTACAGGGCATTTAAAAATGGCGGCACCTGGGAACATGCAAATGAAGCCCGGGATATTTAAATCCTGGTCTTCATTTGCAAGTCCGAATGCCTATAGTAAGCCACCCTAGTTCGAACTAGGGTGGCAGTGTAGACATACCCTGAGAGTCTGATCACACACCAGAGAAACTCAACTGGCATAAGAGGAGTTACTCCTGCTTTACTTTGAGCTTTAGACTGGGTCCTAAAACAGATCAGAAACAGGCCGCCTGAGTTCAAGGGTTTGCACTTAAATGTAATTCAGAAAACCTGTGCTCCATCCCATCTTCTGAAAACTGAAGTTGATACTAGATAATTAAACAGCCCACCTCCCAATGATGTCACTTTCCACTCATTCAACAACATGTGATTCAGAACTCATCAGCTGTGACATTTGCCTTCACTTCAATACATTCATAAACGGACTAATTGTGAATAATGAACTTTGAACTTTAAAAATTTCATCATGGACTGCATTAGATTCTATTTACCATATTTTTTAAAATTCAAAATAATTATAGAGTGGTAATTGTTCCTTTCCTTAACATAAGCTATGAGAATAGTTGACCTGACACACGTCATGTAATACATAATATTAGAGCTCTCCAGTATCCTGGCTTATGCTAGGGAAAGGAACAATTATCAGCCAGATCAATAGATATGAGTCAATTTTCAGCAGTGGAGAGGAAAGTTACCTCAGAGAATCCAGGTGAGATTCTACTCTCTGCCTGGTATATATCCTGATCAACTCCACTAATTTAACTAAATGACTTTATCTTTACGTTGGTATAACTGAGAGCAGAATTTGTCCATATGTTGACAGGTCAATACAGACATACTGATAAGGAGTTCTTTTTGGTTTCTCTTTTTTGGGATTCCTGAGAAGAAGTATCCAAATACAAGAATGTTTAAATTGATAGGCTTCCAAGGAAATGTTAAATTTGAGATCTTATTCTGAATTGAGCAGTGTTAAAATGTAATAATGATTTCTAGAGCTTAAAATAGGCAGAAACAACCTATCATAACAAACACAATGCATAATTTACTTATTTAAATTTTTCTAATATATTACAGGAGCTGGTAACCTAATTAAGCCATATTGATTGTTAACACCTAAAATGTAATGCTGTCCTACATTCTGAGTTTTGTCTAATAAATGATGTTAGTTAAAATACATGCTATTTTTTGTATTTGTTAATTATATTACTTTACTATGAGACTGGCTTCATGCCTAGTCTTATAGTGTGATTCTTGCACTCTAATTATAAGCTCTTGCGTGAAAAAAAAAGTTTCATAACCTGTTTCAGATCTCAATTATACCAGGGTATAACAGCCCCATCCACTTTGGTGAAATTGTGTCCAATTTATCCCAGTGTCAATGAAAACAGAAATGGACGCTTATCAGGAACTTCCTTTGTAAGTATAATTGTTTTATTTAATCATCTGGGCTCAGGTCTGGCCCACAACATTTTGGTGCCTGAGGTGGAGAGCTCAAATGATGCTCCCATGCCCCCTGGGTCCTAGTGGTGACCCCCCCTGCAGTCTGGCACCTGAGGGCGGCTATCTCAGTTCGCCTCATGGTATGGCCAGGCCTGTCTGGGCTAATAATCAATATATTTCTCTGAATCTGGAAGTTTGAGGGATCAAATAAACTATCTGATCCTTTTTTATAGACAACTTTAGTAAAAGTTTATTTTCTATCAAGAATTTTATGTCAGGGACTAAATAAAATATATTAGATGCTATCAAAAGACCTTTAGTCATGATAGTAAGTTGTTACTCATGTGAATTGTCTCAACTAAGTCAATGCGACCTCACTCATGGCTTAGTCTTGCCAACATGACTAAGTTTTGTACAATTGGTGTCACTGAGCCAGATCCACCACTGACACAAACTGGATCATAGTTAAAGGATTTACCTTCTCTGAGGATCTGGGCCATTATTTACAAATCTGTACTTTTATTTCTGATATTCCGCCTCTGAGCTACTTCAGATATTTTTGGATCTAGTCTTGTTCCAGTCAAACCTCCGAAAAATATATTTAAATTAGAAGCAACTCTATTATTTCCATTTACTATTTAATCACATTACAAAACATAAGATAAAACCCTTTAGAGGAAAAGAAAGCATGTGTTGACATTCACCGTTATCACTGTTGTCATCCACCAGAATGATCTCCTTGAGCAAATGGGATGGGGTATGATTCACAACACTGTGCACTGAGCGCAAGATGACAGACAGAGCCTCGTGAAGCAACTCTATTATTTCCATTTACTATTTAATCACATTACAAAACATAAGATAAAACCCTTTAGAGGAAAAGAAAGCATGTGTTGACATTCACCGTTATCACTGTTGTCATCCACCAGAATGATCTCCTTGAGCAAATGGGATGGGGTATGATTCACAACACTGTGCACTGAGCGCAAGATGACAGACAGAGCCTCGTTTACAAAAATAAAGACCACCGAGATCTGAGGCAGCTCATCAGAAAAGTTCATCTGTTTGCACCTGTAGAGAACAAGGCAAGAACTAGAACCCAGTAAGAGACAGATATTAAACATGCAGAAGATTGGATTTCATCTCTCTCTTCCTAGCATTTAGACACAGAGTACTTGTTCATTCTGATCTATGGTAATGAATGGCATTCCCCAGGTACATTCTATTTGGGTACAAATGAAGACCATTTTAGTCCTGAATAAAAATCACCTAATTAAATGCTAACATTTAATCACCTTAATGACAATAGAACCATATATTTGCATATTCCTGAACATAGGCAGAATGTGTAGAGGATTTTAGTTGCAGCAAGGTTAAATTGTCTCATACAAAATGAGATGTTGTAAAATACTCATATGTTTTGCTTTAAGACTCAAAAATAACTGAAAAGAAGACTTTAAGGACTATGAATTGAGTCTGCTTCTGATGACATCAACTGATTTAAAAAGAAGTAGGATCAAACCCGTATTTTCAACTGGCCTAAAAACAGATCTCAAAATGGTACAGAATATTTTTCATGTGAACCCTATTTATACCCAAGCCAGTGCCCTATGTTTCCATGCAAACAAGAATTAGCCCTCACAAATTTTGTTATTTCTGCAGTTGTCCGGCTTGCAGACAAATGGATAAATAGATGTATTTGCAAAATCTATATCCACAGCTTGGGAGACCATATATCAAAATCAGTCCCTACATGAAGTTTTGGAAAAAGCAGAGAAAGCCTGGAATAAATCCCAACTTATTCCTGTCCTCCAGGCACAACTCTTACATTTGTTGCTCTACTCATTTTTATAGACTACTAAAATCTGAGTTGTGGGATGACTGTCCATACCAGCACAGAGAGTTCAATGTAAGGCAAGTCTGTTGCTGTGAATTAAACCCATTGTTTCTGTGAAAAAACAGAAATAAAAGACTATAGTGGGATTGGAAAATGTGTGAATTTTTGCAGAAGGTGCAAATCCTCTCTCACAGTTACTTGAAAATACATGCTAGCCCAGCTGGTTGGCTGCGTGAGTTACCTAATGCATGCTCTTCTCAACACCGGTGCACTCTCTTTTTGTGCACTGGTATTAATGTCAGTCAGAGAAGAAAACAATAGTGGGAGATGGCCTCTAATACAGTACAAGAAGTGCAACAAAGTACAATGCTTCCAAAACCCTTAGGGCATGTCTATACTAGAAAATTATTTCAAATTAACTTATTTTGAAATAATAATTCCTGAAAAAATAATTTCAAAATAATATGTCCACAATGCAGGAAAGCTTTGAAATTAATCTGAGACAGGCTCCCATAATGTGGATGCACTACCTTGACTTAGAGCCCCAAGAAGATCTGGGGAGTACTTACTTTGACTGACTCTGGAGAACAGTTATTTAGAAATTGCAGCATTGGCTTTTCCGCAAAAAGTGCTTTCGCGGAAAAGCGTGCTGCTAATCTAGACACGCTTTTCCGAAAATGCTTTTAACGGAAAACTTTTCCATTAAAAGCATTTCCGGAAAATCATGCCAGTCTAGACGTAGCTGATATGTAATCAATTTGTAAATATTATTAGAATGACCAAGTCTCGCTTCGCTATAAATTGGGCTTAGTAAGAACAATCAATAGACAGGATTGCCCCACACATCCGCTCAATGTAACTAGAAGTAATTAGGCCCTTCACACCGGCGGCCCAGTGCATGGCGTTCCTATGCATGGAAAGAAATGGAACCACAACCTCCTGCCTGGCACTGTAGGTAGCATACGGGTAAAGTGTAAGTGAAATAGGCTTCATTATTGTAAATCGTAAATCTTTTAGTAATTGCTTTTGCATTGCCTGGTGCTGTATGAATTGCTTTAGAATGTAGAGTATTTAAGGTTTAAATTGTAGAGTCATTGTTCTTAAGGCTTGTAAAACTTAAACAACTGTATTAACTGCTTAAAGCTTGCAATAAATAAGAAAGTGGTTAAGTAGCCCTGGCGTGTCCTGGTTTCTCTTGGATCTAAAATAAATCGAACCACACGACACCCGTCGGTTCAAACGAACCGTCAGAACTCATCGCGCTGCAAGGAAATTTTGAACTCTGTTCTGTATGGCACACCTCTGATTGTCTTGCAGTACACAGAACACAGTTTAAGAAACACTGCTCTAGCAGCATGAGACGCCAGCGCCTCGTAGGCACTTGGGAGATAATGGAAGTGTTTGGAGGAAGCCAAGAGCTTTTAAGAGCCAGCCGATTGGGGTGATACCATCATAGCGCCTCTCACAAAACAAGCAGGGAGGCTGGGCCGGTACCCTGATGGGAAGCCGGAAGGAAACAGCTCCATTCCACAGGCGGCTATATCCCGTCCGGCTTAGTGTTGGGCTCACACGCCCTATCCTGCACTGGGAGATGCTATTCTATGGGCATTTCGACACTAGGAAGTTATTTCAAAATAACTAACTCCCAAAATAACTATTCTGAAATAATCTTATTCCCCAAGGAAAGGAGGAGTACAGATTTCAAAAGAACCAGCCTGTTATTTCAAAATAATAGGTGTGGTAGTGTGGGTGCTCCAAATGTTATTTCAAAATAAGGGGGGGTTATTTCGAAGTAACTCCCTAGTGTAGACCAGGGCTAACAGTCAAAAGCACCAAGAATTTGTCTTTTTTCCCTTCCCATGCAAATGGATGGACATAGTGATCGTTGGCTTTGTTAGGTCTCTTTGGGTATGTCTAGACTACATGGCTCCGTTGATGGAGTCATGTAGATTAGGTTTCTAGACACAGGAAAATGAAGCGGCGATTTAAATAATCGTCGCTTCATTTACATAAAAATGGCTGCTGCACTGTGCTGACAAATCAGCTGATCCGGCACAGCGCGGCAGTCTAGACATGGTGCGGTCAACAAGGGAAGCCTTTGTCGACCGCACCGGTAAGTCTCGTTTCACATTGGCACAGCGCAGCGGCCATTTTTATTTTAATGAAGCGGGGATTATTTAAATTCCTGCTTCTTTGACTATTCCGAGTAAACTACTTTACATGGCTCTGTCGACAGAGCCATGTAGTCTAGACGTACCCCCAGCGTCAGCTATGTCTATTTCCTGGCATCAGTGGATCTCCCAGGAACCATGTAGTCTAGACATACCCTAAATCTGAATGGATCAGTATTAGAACTTGGGAAAGTATTCATCATCAGCTGTGGTAGTGTGATGGTTTTTTTTTTTTGATCAAGTGAGCATCATATCCCTAATAATATCTGCCTCTCACTAAAGCAATTATTGATTTGATTATTTATTATTAATTATTATTATTATTCATGCAGCAGGTGAACAGCACAGCATCTACGGCTCCAAACTGCCAGTTAGCATCTCTTCTGCTGTAGCCTGCTTCCTTATTTTGTGTAATATCTCTCCAACTAAGATAGACCTTATCTTAAAAAATTACCTACTTATTCTCACAGCCAAATTTCACTCACAAATATCATAGCAATTACTGAGCTTAACCTATAAAACACTGCTAATGATGCTACTGGAAATGACTTTTCCTGCTCTTGTCATACTTTCTGACCTTTTTGCTCATCCCTTCAATGTAATGATGACTTCTTTCCCCACCATTAGCAGTTATATTGTGGGGCATGACAATGATTTGGCTGCTGGGTAATCTCTGGAAATCAGTTATGAGTTTAAAAAATAAGCATTTACTCGTAACTTCTACTCATTCGAATCCTATTTTCTGTGAGAGTGAGCGGCCTTGTCAGTGGTTACACCATAGCTACTGAAAGCCCACTTGCTACACTGTGTGAAGTAAAGGGATGTGAAGGAGGAGGTCACCTTGCTACGCCCCCTAGAGGGGACAGCCTCACTCTAGGAAGTGAGGGGGTGGGGTGGGGGCAAAGTGGTGTTGGGTGAGGGCACGGGGGACCAAGGATATGGGTTGGAGCTGATAACATTATATTTGTAAATTCATTATTTGCATAATGAATATGCAAATAAAATATTACCAATTTTGTGAATGGGTTTGCCGGTCCAAAGCATAAAAAAGTAAGGAACCACTGATATAGATGAATTTCTTTTTGGGCCTCATTCTCCTTTCAGTCATTGCAGCAGACAATATCAGAAGTCAGACAGGATCATTACTTCAAAATGCAGCAGAACTCTGTGTCACCAGCTGAAAAGTGTGGAATAGATTGGTACCCTACACACCCCTGGAAAGATTTCACAGGGCATTCAGTGAAAGCATGCAATAAAAAAGCAGCAGCTGCAAATACATGTATCATGCCTCTGATTATGACCTTCTTTATATTGTTCCTAAGTCAAGACCAACTCCAGAATTGTTCATGTGAGATCAGAATGAGGCAAAAAGTTACTGATAGAGCAGTAAAACTGTACAAATGAAATGATGGGATGCTAGCTTAAGGGGGATCAAATATGCTAACCCCTGAGCAGGTTCAGTGTGACCTGCATATTTCCTAAACCTTAAGTAAAGTAGGTCTCAATAGAGTGGCTTTAGAGAGAAAAGATGGTGCAGTGGCTCAGGCAATAACAAAAACATAAGGACGTAAGACCATTCTTACTGAGTCAGACCAAAGGTCCATCTAGCCCAGTATCCTGTCTGCCAGCAGTGGCCAATACCAGATGCCCCAGAGGGAAGGAACACTGCAGGTAATCCCCTCATGATCTTCCCTTGTCACCCACTTCCAAACAAACAGAGGGTAGGGACACCATTCCTACCCACTCTGGCTAATAGCCATTGATGGGCCTAACCTCAATGAATCTATCTACCTCTTTTTGAACCCTGTTAAAGTCCTACTCTTCACAGCATACTCAGGAAAGAGTTCAACAGGTTGACTGTGCTGAATAAAGAAAAACTTCCTTTTGTTTGTTTTAAACCTGCTGCCTATTAATTTCATTAGGTGACCCCGTAGTTCTATTGTGGGAACACATAAATAACGTTTTCTTATTCACTTTTTCCACACCAGTCTTGATTTTACAGATCTCTATCATATCCCTCCTTAGTCTCCTCTTTTCAAAGCTGAGAGTATGAGAGCTGAGTGTAATTCTTTGCTCCACCAGAGAGTTCCTTTGTGTCTTTAG